TTGTAGCTTGCCTTGACCAGCAGGTATAAATCAGTGCTAAATAAATATTAGCTGTTATTTCCCCAGATGTGGGAAGTGGAAAAAAAAAAAAAAAAAAAAAGCCTGATCCCATGAGTAAACTCAGCCCTTCCTGGCTGCATTTAAAATAAGATGGCTGGTATTATACCATTTGGGGGAATAATCTTTTTTTCCTTAATGAATCTTATGCTATTTCAACTTGTATTAACTAGATATGGTGGAATCAGCAGTCAGAATGAATTTCCACTGGTTATAGAGTCTCTATCAGCATTCTCATCTGCCATCCTCTTTCTCTCTACCCCAGCCATGGCATATGTCCCAACCCCCCTTTCCTTTCTGGCCCCTTCCTGATGGACAGGGTTGAGTGGGGGAGTCAGGGCAACCGAGTTTACATACCATCTCTAAGTGCTCACCTTGGGTGGAGCAGTGTCTTACATCAACTTTAGTTTTACCACAGCACCATTACTCAACAAAGTATTTGCACGGTGTCGCTTAATAACACAAAAATAAACAAGGTCCTTAAAGTTACCAAGGAAAGAGGTTTGAGCTACCTACCTTCCTTCCTCGAGGACCAACCTTCCTAGACTTGTTCTTAGAAAACTCTTAAAGAGGAACTTTGAGGAAAATCAGGGAGTACAGGTACACCGAGCCAGGTCTAAGCTGCCTATCCCCTTGAAAGGATTAGTTCCTTTGTTAATTTTCAAAGCAATGTGTGACTTCTTTCAACGCTTCTCAGTCGCAGCTTTTCATAGTATCGCTATGCATTTAATATTTCTATAAATATCACACACATGTATGTTCAGTGCTTAGACATAGATGGAAACTGAAACTATTCAAATGTTCTAAGAACTGACACAAGTCTAAATAACTTCTCCCTCCAATCTCTGGATTTTCTAGGAACCTTATAACATTGTTTAAGCACTTTCAAATCTATGATGTTTTATCACAAGTAGTTGGATAGAAGTATGGAGAAGTTAGACCATGATTACTCTCTTCCTTTTACAGATGGGGAAACAGATCTACAACATTGGCTGAGGTCACAGCGCATGAGAGAATGACTGAGACATAAAAACCAGGTCTCCCTGACCCAACCCAGTGCTTTTCCTTCTCTTAAACTATGTAGTAAGACTCAGGGTAACCATCTTTGTGGAGTACAGGGACATGAGCCTTTCCTCCTTGGACTCGGATGACCTATGAACTAATAACACTCGGATAAGAGGACATTTGGTGGCCAGAAGATTGATTACCTACATTCAAAGCAACCTGATCGGTGGTGGCACATGCCTTTAATCCCAGCACTCGGGAGGCAGAGGCAGGCGGATCTCTGTGAGTTCTAGAGGCCAGCCTGGTCTACAAAGTGAGTTCCAGGAAAGGCGCAAAACAACACAGAAAAACCCTGTCTCGAAAAAACAACAACAACAACAACAACAAAACAAAACAAAACAAAAAAAAAAAAAAAACAAAAAAAAAAAAAAAAAAAACAAAAAAAAAAAACAGAGCAACCTGACAGCATACCCGGATAAAAGGTGGACCTAACTTGTTTTAGGCCTCTACTAGGAAAGCTGAGTGTGGGTAATCACTGTTTGGTTGGAGCTTCCAGCTCGGCCCTGCAAGGTCTAGAGAGCCCCATCCTATTTCGTTCTCTCTCCAAACCAGCGCTCAGAGAGTCTATGACCAAAGGAAAGGCGCCAAAATGTCCAGTTCCGCATTCTTGGCGGCTACTTAGCTTCCTGCCCTGAAGTTGCCAGCAGTTCAAGTGCCCGCCTAAGCACTCAGCTTTTGACCATGCTTGGGCACAAACTCAGCTTGTGCCGGACACGTCATCACCCCTGCCTACAACCTATAAAACTTTCCTGCTCTGGCCTGGGCTCATGACTTCCCTCGCCTCGATCTCTGGGACCGGAGAACTTGCCTGGGAGTTGCTTTGCTCAATAAGCCTGCTCTTACACTTTTTCAGTTCAGCTTGATCTTATTATGGGAGGAGGGCAGAAGACTATTAATCACATAGCTTGCTTCTGGCCCATCTTCTCCATATCCTCCCCTCACAGACATCTTTCAGACATTGGTAATTACAGACCTCCGAGCCAAAGCCTGCAAACGCAGAGCCGTGCAGATGCCACTCTAAGATCTATGCAAACTTGGAAGCCTGAAGACACATGAGTGTCGTTGCCTTACACTGGAAGAAAGCTGCAGTTTTCATTTCCATGTCATTGGGTCACTGGTATATTCTACTACATGGTATAACAGTTTCCTCTTGATCTGAGGAAGTGTACATAAATAATTTGCCTCTACATTTAATCAGGAACTTCAAAAATCAGCTGAAGTTCATGTGTCCCTTAGGCCTTACGGTTAAACTGAAATCTTGGAAGACTGATCTTAATTCATGAAAACAACTTGAAACAATGAAAGAAATGGTTCGCCAAAAGATGAATCAGTATCAAGAAATACAGTACCAGGGAGCCAGCGCAGCAGATTAAAGTGCTTGCTGCCAAACTTGACAACCTAATTTAACCCCCAGGATGGAGCCATATGATAGAAGGAGAGAACCAATGGCCACAAGTTGTTCCCTGACCTCCACACACATACACACAGCAAAAAAAAAAAAAGGTAAGAAAGCAGAGCACAGAGCAGCAGTCATCACTGTTATGGTGGTCAATAGGAGTTAACAGCACCATGACTTCTGTAAAGAATGAAACAAGTTTTCGCTAGAGTCCAATGGCCATGCACAACAACGTGTAAGGTTCAGTAGAATCTCCCACCATCTCTATCACCAGCCATATCAATTGTAATAAATTCATCTAATTTGGTATCCCACAACTTTTGGAAGGCTTAAATGTTTAAAAAACGTATGAAAGACTTTAGGAAAAGTCAAATGGATTAGGTCTCACCTTGGAGAAGCAGTTCAAAGAGGGCTTAATTCATGACCTCTGGGTGTATTTAGTACCATAAATGTTGGCGTTTGGGGGTAGTTCATTTTAGAATGAATGTATAGAAATGTTATAGGTTTCAGAGAGACAGGGTAATGGGAGGAAATAGCAAATGTTTAGCACTTGCACTGTACCAGGGACATGATGTACATTATCACACACACACACACACACACACACACACACACACACAAAACTACAAAAAATTGAGACTAGATAAGAGGGAAGTAAAGTCAATGCCAACGTCCTTTACCTGGCATTAGCAATAAGGACTCTTTACCTTCAAAGCCTGTACTACCACACCTAGTCACTAGAATACTGCATTGGGCAAGCCTGTGCAATCTTCCCTCATTAAATGTAAAAACAGTTTCTAGAGATGTGTACCTTAAATAGTGATTTAGGCCAGTCTAGAAACAGAGAAATGAGCTAAATTCCTGTGAGGCTAACTGCCTTCTGCCTTGAAATTTTAGATTAAAATTCAGACCACATAGATGTAGTCCAAGGTTTTTATTGGTCACACACTTTACTTATTTTAATCAATAAAGATTTGAGCTGGTCGGTGGTGACATACACCTTTAATCCCATTACTTGGGAGGCAGAAGCAGGTGGATCTCTGTGAGTTTGAGGCCAGCCTAGTCTACAGAACGAGTTCTGGGACAACTAGAGCTACACAAAGAAATCTTGTCTCAAAAAAAAAAAATTGAGACCTATAGCATGAGTAAGATTTAGATATTTATATTCCAACATTTTCTCCACCTACTTAAATATCCAAAATAAGGAATCAGTCCAATCAACTAGAGCATAACCAAACAATGGGCTTTCTATATTATGGTTAGATTTATGTGGTAGAAGTTTTAATGACTTATGGAAATGTTTATGATATATTGCCAAATAAATAAAAGCCCAGAAAAACAATACCACATTATTAAGTGTATTTTAAATTTGATTTAAATATCTATTTACATATGCATGTATGAAAACAACTGGGCAGAAGTAGACCAGAACATTAACAGTGGTTTTACTTATGAGTACTATAATATCTGGGGACTTTGTGCTACATTTTTGTAAACTGAACATGTCCTCACATATATTGCTAGAAAGAATGCTTTACACACTGCACAGGCACAAACAGTGTTTCCTGCAAATGTTTCAAAATGTATAAATAGGATAATAATGTATTATGAATACAATTATATAGGAAAGTTTATTAAATGGCATAGAGCCCATAGTTGGCAGCAAACTCGAACTTTACCTACGTTGCATATAAAATTGGCTCTCCATGTACTTTCTTATTATGCTAAAATAATCATATATAACTGCCTGAGTCCCTTTAACTCTTGCCTAAATCCCTTTATTCAGAATGCACACAGAAAACACAGCAGAACGTACAGTACTTTATATGAAAATTAAAATAATCATACCTAGCTCAAGAAGTTTTTAAAAATCGAAGTAAAACAAGACTTCTAAAGCTCCCAGCACAGTGCCTGGAGCACAGTGAACATTCAGCCAGTTTTATCTGTTTGGGGAATTATACTCTTCCTGTTGAGGAATTCTACAGAAGGGAATGATTGTTGATCCAAGAAACTCCTGTCAACCACTAGCACACATACTTCTTTTTAAATAGCCTTCAATTAATAAAGGTGGAGTCCAAAGGAATCTTTGACACATCATAATTATATAGCTCATTTCATTCTTCTTACTTAATGAGTAACAAAAGCAGGAAATTAAGCCATGACATAATTCAGTTTTTCCTTAATTGTCTGACTTAGGTTTGTGCAACCAAAATAAATTGAGATAAAAGGAAAATGTTAAGACTTTATAAACAGTTTCCAATTTAGATACTCCTTTAAAATAATATTTAAAAGTGTATCTAAAATTCTTTGATGAAAATAGCACTGCCCATTGCCCATTTGAGGACACATACTTGTTAAATATGTTTTAATCATCTATGTTTAGTTAGAAGAAGGAGGAGGAGGAGGAGGAGGAGGAGGAGGAGAAGGAGAAGAAGAAGAAATGTTTAGTTTGTAAAGGGTTTAACTCAAGAATATGGATTAAAATAAGTATGGTTAGAATTGATTGTCAACTTGATGGGGTCTGGAATCAGCTAGGAGACAAACCTCTGGGCATATATGTGAGAGAGTTTCTAGACTGGGTTGACTGAGGTAAGAAGATCCATCTGAAATGTGGGTGTCTCCATTTCATTAGCCGAATAAAACAGAGAGAATGAGCGAAGCACTAGCGTTCATCCCTTTTCACTTCCTGACTGGGGAGGCAAAGTGAGCAGCTGCCTCGTGCTCCTGACCCCACTTCTTCTGTGCCATGATGGACTCTATTCTAAAAATGTGAACCAAAATAAATGACTGCTCCCTTTCTTTAGTTGGCTTTCATCCCTCCTTTCTTCTTCTTTGACACAGTCTCGCTATGTAGCCCTGGCTGGCCTGTAAGGATGTAGACCAGATTGGGCTGGAATTTACAGAGAGCCACCTGCTGCTGTCTCCTTGGTGCTGAGGTTAAAGGTGTGTGTCACCAGATCTGGCCCTTTAGTTACTTTTTAGTGTTTTGTCATAACAACAAGAAAAATAACTCAATGATAAACATCACATTTCAAGACTAGGAAGAAAAGTCTCATGACACTTCCCTAAACTAGTATAATTTCTAAATGTATCCTAATATTTATCTTGATACCCACAGATATGTATAGTTCTCACCCCTCATGAAAGGAATTTCTCGTGGCAGCTGATGGAGGCCATTACAGAGATCCACAACTGGCCAGAACACAGAGAATAAGTGGTCATGGGGTACCCAACCCAACTGCTACATCTACAGCATAACCCTATACCTGAGGTTCAGGGGAAACCGGGCAGAGAGAGAAGAAAGATTGTAAGAGCCAAAGGACCAAAGATACCTGCTACAAGATATTATCTTCCAGATGTGGAAGCTGCGCCCATGCTCTCTCAACAATATGGTTGCCTAAACAAGACCGGCATAATGACACTACCAGTTGACATGCCAATGTAGATAGGGGACATGTCACAAGTTCCCACTCCCAGATGAAGAGATACAGGCAATCAATGGCTTTGGAGAGAGGGAGAACCAGTTTTCTTCGGGGCCTAGTCACCTGATAGGTTCTCCAATCCCAAGCGATCAGCCCTACACACACATAAATGTAAGCAATACTAAATAAACTCAGTAAGTTTTTCTATATGTGTAAATATAAGTCATGTATGTATATGCATGTATAACTTCATATGTATGTAAATACATGTAACAACAATAACTAAAGAAGAGGTTATGAATTGGAGTTGGAATGGAAGAAGGATGGGTAGAACTGCTATAAATACAGTATTCCCGAAGGGCATTCACAAAAATTGAAAAATGAAAAAAAAGAACAAAGACTCCAGTTACCTTGTGAAGATGATGCAATTATAGTTGATAAAATAGTTCCTCAGAAATATGTGTGTGTGTGGGGGGGGGGGTTAAACATTTAAGTTTAGTCTTATTTATGGACTTTCTCTATTTATGAGCTGAAGTTTACTTAGGGGAGAAAACAACAACAACCACCAAATGACTTGTGGCAAATACTTTTGTTCTTTGAAAAATAAGAATGTCTCCTGCCAGATGGAACCCTTTCAAAAATGCAATTAGCAGTCAGGCATGGCAGTGCACACTACAGTCCACAGTACACTATAGCACACAGGAGACTGAGGCAGGAGGATCATGAGGTTAAGTTCAGCCTGGGCTACAGAGTGAGGCTCCATCTCAGGAAATAATACAGTTAGGGGCTATACCTCACATGGCATCCCTACCCTTTCTCATCTCGTCTTCTGACCCTCAGGAACACTGTGTGTCCGTCTACTCCTAGGACCAAAAGCTAATGCATGCTTTTACAGGTGAGAGCTACCTTCCTGTCATTCTTCAGGCTTCTCCCTTTTCCTGGAAGAAGTCCTGGGAGATGTACACAAAGCCTTGCCCACCCTCACCTAGCTTGTTTATTAGCTAACAGGTTCATTTTGTGCCCCAGGAGGCCAGCTATTGAGAGAGTATGGAGGAGAAGACTGGAGCTCCTTCAGTGTCTCGGCACCATTCAGTATGAAGCAAGGTAAACTGGTGCCAGCAGGTTTGTGTTCCTTGTTATGTGCTCAGTCCGATTCTCAAAATCTTCATTACAATTTCAGATTTTAAATATGCACGCTTATGTTCCTTCCTGTTTCTATCATGTAATTTAAAGATAGTTTTAAAGCACAACATTCTAGATAAAACTCAAAGGGACAAGGATGAGAGTCTATGACGGATTGTTCCCACTTATTAGAGCTAATTTATGTGATTGTCTGGTGGTTCTGTGTCTGCACTCCGAGTACTATGGAACTCTTCTGGATAACGGGCGGGCTCTTGCTCCCTTCCTCTCCCCCCCGCCCTTCCCTTCTCTCTTCCCCAGGGGCTGTGTGACTCCAGATTTGGAAAGCAAACAGTAACTGCCAACATGAGGCAGAATGCTTAAAAAGAGCATGGATTTCCATTTCAGAGGGCCTGCCAGAGACCGATTTCTCAGGAAACAGAAAGAACACATTTGGACCTGTAAGATTAAAGGAGGCTTCAGGAGGATCGGACTTCTGTGGATAGCCTTTCCCAGGCAGCTCAAGAGCCCACCTGAATGATGAGAGACACATCACAAGGTCTGCCTGGCCTGACTTTCTTTGTTCATCTGTCAAATCTGGTAATTAAACTGGTCCAGCAAAAGACATGGTATTCATAATTAGAATGAGTCCGCAATTCCTATGCCTGATGAATTTTTTAGAACCACATTAAGTGACTAACAGGAAACTTGAAGATTAAAGAAAAGAACCACACATGCTTCTTGAGGTAAAAGGGTATCTGACAGAATCTGTTGTCTCTGAGGAAAGAAAAATAAAGAATTCATATCACATGATAGCGTTTTATTCTACTCTAAGAAAGCCATAGAAGACATGGGGGAAAAAAACCTTTACCGAAACCTAAATGTCAAAATATGAGCATTTTGCCTTTATTTCAATCTAGAAATAAATAAATAAAATGTCAAAGTCCTGTTTTAATTTGAACTTCTCTGTACATAGATGGATATGTACTGAGCTCTAAAAGTCTGTTCATAGTATATGACTAAATATTTTCTGTGCAATGTGTAGGTGTTCAGTCAATTGCCACAGTTCATTTACTGTAAGACACTGGTTCACATTCTAATATCTCCAAAAGATGGAGAAAATCTAAAATGAACAGTGTGTTCAATTAACAGCATGGTTTTCTTCACTGCACTTTAAATGATGGGACACTATGTAATGGTGTCTTAGATTTGATGAAGCATCCCTTCAAATAATGAAGTAGTTAATGAGCTTCCTCCGCGCAGTCTAAAACCCAGACCTCTGTCTCCAGTCCCGAGGGTCTTCTACATGTGTTAGCACTCCAGCATTAGCTAAAGAGCTACCTGGAAAACACTAACCAGTGCTTCCAAGAAGATCTCCTGCTGGAGACACAGACGGCCAGCTCTGTCAGGAGATGTGGGGGGACACGAAGAGCTGAAAGAGCTTCCAGCTGACTTCAGGGTGGGTCTCTCTGCTTCACTCACTGAGCTTGGTCCGGTCAGTCTCGGCCCCTTCACACTGGACTGGAGACTGTCGCTATGCTGCAACCCATAGATGGGGTTCCCCCCCAATTGTTCAGATGATCCAAATAGTCCAAATTCATCCAAGGTTTGGTTGGAAAGAGGTGTCTTATACTTTTAAAAGTACTAGAACCTTTCAGACTCATATAATAAAGATGTACTTTTAAACATATTTAGTTAGAACCCAGACACCATAAGTTCTTCATCAAGTGCATTGGAGACCTTAAGGGAACAAGGCATTTGCAATTAGTAGTATGGCATGCCAGCAGTACAGTGTTTTATAGTTTTAATTTTTATTTATTTTATTTGAAGTAGTGGGAAATGAATTCAGAATGTCTTACACACTAGGCAAGTACTCTACTACTGTGTTATATTCCCAGCTCCAATAATCTATTATTTTTCAAAAGATGAATACACACACACACACACACACACACACACACATATTATTTAGATGCATAGAGGAAGCTTAGAAAGCTTATCAAACTTGTTACTTCTGCATGAGAATTATTGGAGTTTGTTTTTCATTGTCTCTGTTTCTAAATTTAGCCACAATAAACCTGTACCATATATAATACAATTAAATAATTATAAAAGAGTAATAGGGTTTTTCTTTTTAAACAATTAATGAGTATTATGAACTACAGCTGACATCTTTAAAGATGCATCTTCAAGGATGAGGTTGTTTCATAATTTCTTCCTGAGAAGTTACAGCTGATGAAGAATGAATAATTCTTCCTCCATACTGACAGAAAAGGAGATGTCCACACATTTCTGTATTGACAGTAGATGTGTACATACATGCAATTTGCCTTCTCTAGCCAGGCCACAAAAGGGAGCAATTGACTTAAAAGCATAAGATTTTTAAATCTGGATTTTGTTCAAAATGTTGGAGCTAAAGAGTCTTTTATTGAAATGTTGCTTTTATACCTTAAAGCATAAGGCCGAGTCAGTTCAGGCCTCCCTGTCATTTGCTCTAAGTGCATTTGTTCCGAATTTAAAATATTGATAAGCTCTACGTGAACACAAGTGACATAGGAACTAGACGCACTTCTTTGTTTGTCCAGCACTACAACTTTAGGACACCGTATTCCCCTGGCCACATATTGGGTATAAAATTATATTGTTGCTTTGTATATTATTCAAACATGAAAGTAGATTCTTTGGGTTCTTTCTTTCCTCAAATCATGCTATTAGCATTTGTTGAAATACACCTCTGTGCTTTCTTATCTTAGGTGTATATAATCTTACTAGCTTTACAGGGAAGACAGGCATCTTAGCATCTGAATTGGTATTTAAAGAGATATGCTCACTTTTAGTCTGGGTCAATAATATTACGTTATTGTTTAGAATGAGATAGCAGACTATGTCTTAGAAATTTAATATAATCTTTCTGTCATCAAATAACAGCTAAAATATTGTATTGATAAACACCAGGGCTCATATCAAACTCTGCTTATGTCTAGGTTGCTCTGTTTTTCCCGGGGAAGAGCCCAGAAAAACATGCCAATCCTAGCATTTCAGGGACATTAGCGACCAATATGCAGTTGGTTGCTCTTTACAAATTGTTCAGAAAACATCTCAGTGGGAGAATGAAAAGGACTCAAGGGAGAATCTATTGGCTATTTGTGAAACTGATAACAAAACCTCTCTAAGCCTCCCTGGTAAGTAAAGATAATTCCTTCCTTCCATCGTGGTTTCAACTGTTAAATAGGATGATGCAGTTAGAAAATAGTTTGTAAGCCCATGCTGGTGTTATCATGATTGTTCAAACATGAACACTGAGCATATGAAGTCAGGCCTCATTAAACCCGGTGCTTTAGATGCGGAAGAGAAGGTTGCAAGGGAAACACACTGAATACCATTAACACTGGTGTTCAGAAGCCACTTTGTGTTTCCTTGCCTCGTGGTCCCATTGCCGTTCCTTCAAGGTAAAGGTTGGTTCTGCCTCACAGCAAAGGAACTTCTCTTCAGCCAAGGTGGCAGACGCTGTTGATTCGGTCTTAGTAAACAGGAAAAGATGTTGGCAATCTTTGGAGGGAGTTCAGGGAGGCTTTTTCAACCAGACATTTTTATGGGCAGCAAAATATGACTTCAAAAACTACCAAGAGTTAACAATATA